ACAATGCAAGGCAGAGTGCTTTGTATATACATCGTCTAGAAGCTCTTGTGTACTGCATTGAAAATTGAAGTCGCTCGTGGGATATTTCACCCTCGGAGGCATGACATAACTAGGAGGCATGACATAACTAGTACTCATGCAGTGGAGTTTTGATTTGCTGTATTCATTCTTTACGTGGATCGATAGAAGCTCTGTTATTTTTTCTGTCTTCTTCATTGCAGTCAAGAGTTCCTGTGTATGTAGCACACTTTGCGGAAGGAACCTCCTTTAAAGACGTGGTACATTTTGGGCAGGTGCGCAAATTTTAGCTTTGGGCAGGTATAGAGCACATTACAGGGTGTCTCAGCTTTCAGCTAGTGAGGCTAGTACGTTTAGGGGTCCTGTATCCTTTACAGCGCTTGTATATACACGGCTGTGAAAGCAGTAACTTCAAGATATTTTGATTCACTTTTTCCTCGTCCCAAATTACCTTCAGATGTTGGATAATCAGAATATTAGTTTGCTAAGGTAAAAAATTAAGAAAGAGGTAATAATAAAAACAGAATGAAACGAGGACGGGTAAGAATGGAGGAGATTGCGACGGATTAGAAACGACGATCTTGAACTGAAAGTCTAGGTGCATTTTGTAAGACGGAAAAACCGTGACGTAACTGTTTTGACCGCTCTAAACGTAAATTGTGTCGCAGTCTTTAGTCTTCTTGCTGCATGCTCAATTGAGCTGAAGTGGAGTTATTTGCCGATAGTGAGCTAATGCTCCCACCAATATATAGCAGGAAATCAGACAATCTTCAGATTTTCAAAACTCGGCTCAAAGCTCATTTATTTAAGGAAGCCTTTATGGAATAATTTTATTGATTCTTGTAAAGCGCCTAAATCACGCTTGGATAGGCGCTATAAAAATACTATGTATTATTATTATTATTATTATTATTATTATTATTATTATTATTATTATTACTGCCTTTAAGTTCTGTATGCCTACGTCAGATTTATTAGTCTCCTGCGCAGCCGTGATTTGGGTCGTCACCGGAGGCTCCTCCCCTACAAGTTAGTGGAGTAAAGATACTTTGAAACAAACCCCTAAAAACTGTCAACCATGGATGCCTTTTTTCAACAGATAATTGTAGACAAGAAGTGCATGAAATTTGACTACGGTGAAGCTGGAAACAAGAAACACTACAATCAGGTACACTAAGTTGTGAATGTTTTTAGCTGACCGAGTTTATTTTCCACATTAATAGCAAGGAAAAGGCAAATCTGAACTCGTGTTATTACATTAGCTGTCTTCCTCTTCACATTGGTTTGTGAGAGCAGTCCACTGTTCATGTTAAATAACAGAGCACTAGAACTAACCGAACATAACGTCTGAAGTTTGAGGATAAATGAAACCATTAGGAGTTTTAGAAATGACGACGGCGACGCCAAGGACGACGCCTTGTAAAAAAATGGATTATATTTTACCTTCGAATGTCGCAACTCTGTAGATCTTTCCAGTAGACCTATCGGTCTAAAAACTTGCTCAGACTAAATATGCAATGATATGAAAAATTAGACATTGCGGTTCGCATTCTCCAAAATACGTAAAGTTTGGTCATTTCACGTTGTTGTTCAGATTTATAATGCACGTGCATAGCCATTGTTTTCCTCATTAAACCTTTTGTTTGGCGACGTTCTCGTTGGCGTTGCCGTCGTGATTTGCTGAAGCTCCCTAGATATTATTGTAACATGAAGCCACTCTCTACCTAGACAGGAAGCTAGTTCATGGAAGGGTCACTCACTGCAATGTGAGAGAAACCGTTTTGTACAAGAGCATGAAACAAAGACCTCAGCAAGGCTTCGAGAAAGGGACATCTCGATTTTGAGTGAAGATAACTAAGGAAAAAACCCCCGTCCACACACGCACACAAGAAACTGCACATCCCTCTCTCCCCACTCTCCCCCCCCCC